TTAGGCAAACTTCTATTCTCATCAACTACTCGCCAGTTCACTTTCTCAAGTTTTTTGAAACATTTGTATTATTCTTGAACATCGAATTCTTAGTATTACAATCTGGACAGTTCCTTGCAGTGACATCTTTCCTACCACAACTGTAACAGATTACAACAAAAGGAGCCCTGCAGTTCCTTAAACTGTGACCATTTATCCTACAACGGACACAGAAATCACCCTTCATAGGTTGAACTGCAGAAACCTTCAGCTGCTGTGCAACCATTTGTTTATCTTTATAACACAAGTCAGGGGCCAAGGATGATGAACTAACAGGCTCAGTGAAGTGCTTACACCTCTCTTGAGCTCCCTCAAGCAATCTACACTTCATCTTCAACTCTGCCCATGTTTCCACAGGGCTCAAAGCCAACTGAGCAGTGTAAAATGGCCTTATATTAAACAATACAATATTTAACTTATCCTCCTCTGATATAGGTTTACACAAACGGCCGAAATAGTTTTGCATTATACTCAGGTAGTTCACAATACTTTCCTCAGCACCTTGGGTTCGGGAACGAATTTCCTGCATTAATCTATGATCATAATCAGAAGGTAAATATTCTTCCAATAACAAACACTTCAATCCTAGCCAGTCATTGACCTCTGACCTAACACCACGATACCAACATAAAGCCTCATCGGAAAATAATTCTGATGCTGAACAAAACAACCTATCATCAGAAATACCCCTAGACAAGCACAATTCTTCTAGGCGTTGTAAAAAAGCCTTCACACATAATTTACCATCAAACTTTATATTGAGTTTATGAACTTCAGAGCTACCAACATTTTGTGGTTTTATAGCAGATTGTTCATTGCTATCTTTCTCCTGGGTAAGACTACTTTTAAATGTGTGTAAAATCCTATCAATCTTTGCCAAAACACTATCTAAACGCTTCTGACAGGTGACCAATGATGAATTGAAGTCGCTGTCAACTTCTTCTGTCACCTCCAGCCGACTAATTCGGTGGAATAGATGATGTGATAGGGTCTGAATTCTATTTAATGACTTAAGAGAGCCTGCCTTTGATGACGATAGAGAAATAAGCTTATCCAGGTTATCCAATTTTTCCTGCACAATTTTTAACTCGGAAACCAAATCCAGGTCACATTCCAATATTTCATCAGAAGGCAAGTCCCTATTGAGGGAACGAATCTGTGCCTTCAATTCAGTCACTGTGTCCGCCGGTTTGGCACCCCTAATCTTAACTTCATAAATTAACTCATCTTTCAATAGCAAATTAAAAGTTATAGGTCTTTGCTCCATGATAAAGGCTTCCTTTCTATATTAATGTAAAAATGATAGTAGTTAATGAAATGTGAGCAGTGTGGCAATGTAGAAAACAAGATTATGTAATGTTTAATTTAAGCAATGGCACAGTCAAAAAAAAACATAATAACAAACACTGTCAAGTATAGTCTTTTATTTCCAAACCCCTTGTGAGTGATATGAAAATAATAAATACCTTACCAGCATTCAAACTCAAATAATAATTAAAAATGTAGCATAAAAAAAAACTTTCTCAGACTCCAACCGCTTCTTCACAATTATTAACTTTATATAGGAAATATTTATTAACTTTGTATGTAAGCACAAAATACTTTACAGCATAAGGTAGTATTTAAATTAAGTTTAAATTAATACAACACAAGCCAAGTCTTGGACCACAACAACAATTGTTAAAAAAACAACTACAAATACCACTCGCCACCGCTCAGCCTCCACTGAGCTAATTGTTGACCAGAAAAAGGACTTGATAAAAGTAACAGAACCTCCTTTCCTAATGTTCGGGCGCCATGCGATGCTATTTCTTTAGTTAGTCGGGTATAAAATCAAACCAGAGTTGTAACCAGGCCATACAATTATTTATTCAGTAAGGTACTGACAACCAAATAGACAATTAGTTTAAATTTACAAGTTCTATACATTTACAAAGTTGCCGTTAATGTTAAAAGACAATGAGTCCTTAAGAGAACTCAAGACTACCCTTGTATGACTAAATATGACTAATGTTAACAACTCAATAAATGATATTCTAATTACAGTTCTGTTTCATTAAGGTACTGACAAAAATAGACAATTAGTTTAAATTTGCAAATTCTATACATTTACAAAGTTGCAGTTAATGTTAAAAGACAATGAGTCCTTAAGAGAACTTAAGACTACCCTTGTATGACTAAATATGACGAATGTTAACAACTCAATAAAGGATATCCTAATTAGAGTTCTGTTGGAGTCTGTTCCGAGACGATAGCGAGTGGATCTGAGTTTGAAAATCTGATTAGTGCTTAATTAGTAATTTATAATATATAAACTGAGGCAGCAGCTTTTCACAAGTATTGTCCGTCTGAATTCCGGCCGTACAAACTGTCAGCCGCTGCTTCCGAGGGTTAGTAAATGTACCTGAGTTCAGATTGTAGAGTACTGAGTTCAGATTGTAGAGTACTGTAATAAGAAAGTTGTAGGATATCTAGTGGTGTATGCTCAGCTAATTCTCTCTGCAAATCTCAGGCCACACCAGTGAGTATAGCTAATAATATCCGGACTTGTGACCTCGCCCTTGCACCAACAAATTAGCTTCTGGGGTTGCTAGCCCGTAACGGTGGACCCTTTTCGGGCCAAATATAACAATTTATGATTATATTACTGGGATATCAATCCCTCCAGCATATCCTCCGAAAGACTTGCGCAGGCTCCCTTCGAAAATATTATAGTAAAGTTATTCGGTTATTAATTCGATCTCTCTCGTAATATGAGCCAGTCCCACCAACTTCAATTCAAAAAATGTCCATGTCATCTCCCTCAATCTATCCGCGCTTGCTATTGGCCGACGGTTTGACAGTCCCGATCGTTTTTAATAACGGCAGACATAGGGATTGGCACTTATACAGCCATCGCTACAATTATAAAAGATGCCCTACTGCGGTCCGATTCTGAATCAAGATTTGTGGAAAATTTATCTCACCTTATTTCAAAATACAAATATGATCAATAAAGACCCAAAGCAAAGCCAATGACTACCCAAATATGATCTAGCGATCTTTCTTGTGACCATTAAAAATTAGCGACTGTAAACTAAAGAAATACCATGATAACATCAGAAATAAGACTGGTATGATATCAAACACATAAAACCAAGCAACTTTTGTCCCAACATTTTTATCTTATCATATATGATTTTTTTTTTATCACCTGGCCGAATTAAAAAATATGTATTAATAAATACTAATGTTACTGTCTGTCAATTATGACTTTGACAAGTGAAAATAACAATGTTACACCGCCAAAAGCGTCAAAGAAAAGAAGTTGATTATAGGAAATTCTTTTAAATTTTAACAATATTACTGTTGTTAACAGGTTCCAAAACTAAGTGTGGAGGAAGTGATGTGTATGTGCGCTTGCGCTGCGCCGCACGCAAATGAGTCAGTAATAAACCAACTACCGTAAGAGGAGCGCGTTTCATTTGCAACCATACAGATTAATATCACATGTATATTGTGTAAATATGCAGCGTGAATGTGTATCGGGTGTTCTTGAATAATTTGGCAGTATGATCCTCTCAGGATGTTGTGGCACACGTTCACTAGCACTTAGTAATAAGGGCCCTGCTCTTTGGTAACATCGATGGCATATCAGATAGCCGAAATAGTTGAATTAAAGGAAAAACAATCGCAAATAAACACACACAACAGGTAATCCGAAACGAGAATGCACTTTCCAGTAAATTAAACTACTCTTTGGAATGCATGAATGTCACAGATTACTAAGGCCCTTATTATAGAAAGACTAGCAAACCAGTGAACCAAATGTTCACCAAAACCTGATTTAAAAAAAAAGTATTTAATTAATTGAGAACTTCGGAGATTTTGTGTGGTTCCGTTTGAAATTCGTGATTTCTCGAAAACCGGAAGTGCTACGTTACTCAAATCCGGTTTGTAGTCTAATCAGACTATTCTTAACTTATAACTTAAATATTCTCTTTATCTATCTCTTACGGTTTGGCCGCTGAAACAGCACCACAGACGGACGGACGGACTTGCCTAATAGATAAGAGATTCTCAGTGACTGATCTAGTCTTGAGCATAGTTAGAAAGGGATGTCGCTATTATATCACATAGCGACATCCCTTTCTAATTGTACTCAAGTAAAGATCAACACTTAGTTGTCATTCTGTAATACGGGCCTAAGAATGCAAACTGCATGCACCACAACCACAGAGTAACGAGTTTTATGCCGGCCCTTCACTTAACAACAGTTTGTCCTTGTCATGCTTAATAAGGAATGAAAAGGACAGACTGATGTCATGTTTTAAAATAGCAAATACGAATAGCCAAGTGAAGTGCCGGCATTAGGAAAAAAGAGTGTTTTGTTTGCAGCGCTGCCATAGATTATACACATAAAGTGGTATTTATTGTCTCATATTATTTTTTAACTTTTTTAGCATACTTAACTGGAAGTGTCCGTCACAATCTAAATACTGATAATTATCGCAAAAAATATACTAAGAATTATCATAAATGCCAAATTGGTGTTGGTTCTTAGGCCAATTTTAACATTGTCCTTTGTACACTAACAGCCTTATTACAAATCGCAGACTAAAGTTAAACCTGGACTAAAACTGATGCTGTCACTTTTGTTTGCTGTAATTTTAGTCTGCATCTTGGAATAAATGAAATTTTCAGAAAAATATTTCGTAATGGTTTATTGCTTCAACTTTTTGCGTGTCTGCAAATATTGTTTAGTACTCCTAAATAACATTAACAAAAATTTTCTACAAAATGTGGAATTAAGTAATTTTTGATTTAAAAACCTGATGCTTTTCTAACTATACCAAAAAAAAGGTTCAATATAATTTTTAGGCTAACTGGAGTTTAAGTTTAGTCACTTTTTTGTAATAAGTCTAAGTGTAATTAATCATGGAAAAATTTGTTCACATAATTTATGTGAGGTTTTTTTATAGATCACCATGGATACACTAAATTTGATTGTGAATCGACAACCTGATATCGCTTGGAACTTTTCTGTGTCACCGATGGAGAGTATAATGCTTATAGATCCAGAAGAGGTTAATCTGGAGGCTACTTTCAAGGTTGAGAAAGTGAAGTCTGAAGCGGATGTTGAAGAGATGCAAGATCAAATTGATACAGGTATTCATTTATCAATTTCCATGGTGTGAGTGATATGTACACTGGTTTTTTGAGGTTTCACCTACTCAAGTCCTTGGTTCGAATCCATGTGGGGCAAATGTCTGTATCTGTTTATATAATAGGTTGGGGAAACAGTCTTTTGCGCATTATAGTATTTATGAACTTGTAATAAAATCTCTTTGGTTATACCGTTTGTACCGTCTGGGGTATGTCAGAATGTCCAGTGTGTTAAAATGACAAGGAAAAAATAGCCAATATTGTTAATATGCCCAGTTGTAATAATATACTGGTGTCAAAATAACAAATTGTTAAAATGTCTATTTACTATAATGTCAAGTTATCGAAACAACAAATTGTGTAAAAAGTCAGATTGTCATAATGTCCAATATCAAAACCCCAAATGTGGAAAGGTGTAGTCGCCAAACTTAATAGTTTTGTTAACAGTCAAAGGCTGTAGTAACATTCCCAAGATTTCGAAAATATACCTTTTTCAGGTATTTATACCTGAGACCGACTGTGTCAAGTATCTAGGTCTCCATCTGGACAAGAGGTTAACTTGGAAAACACACATCAAACAGAAGCATTTTGTAGTTGTGTACTACTACTTCACTCACTCGCTCTGTGGTTGGAAAGAAACTGACACAAAATCATTATAAATTTGAATTGAAACGAAACGAAGGCGATGCCGTCAGTAAGAGCGAAATGAAACCCTTTAAAAACCGCTAAAGTGATTCAAAACCTATTTGATTTCGCTTTTTAGGAAAACCGTTTTTTTTTAAGGTTAAGGTAGAGCCAAACCTAAATAAAACGCTCCTAATGTACTTGATACTGATTTAGGTTTGTAAATTAACCGGTAAACAAGCCCTGCAACTTACATTCAATCAAAATGCAGAAAAGATGCGGCACTCGCGGCTCGCAAACGCTATATGTGCACTCAATATAACAACAATTTGCGTATATTCTGTGAGATAAAGATAAAACAATGCCTTCGATGTTTTTATAAAGAACAAAAATAGTTCAAGACTAAATAACAAATTCTACGTTAACACTTCATTCGTAAAACTATAATTTTTTTTTTCTCAAAAATCACTGTTTGTCGTGAATGTTATTTACTTATTCGCTATTTGTTGTGAAGAAAAGGACAAAAATACAGCTCAGCCGTTTGCAGAGAGAGAAAAAAAAGGCAGTCGCTCGCGCTGCGTCGAGCGAGCGAGACAGAACTACGCTAACGCAGTTCTGTGTCGCTCGATTGAATGTTTATTTATAATGCGTTTCAACTAAGAATAAAACCGACTGGGCGCCATATTCTGATGATGATATGATGATGATGATGATAGGTAGAGTGAGCAAAAATAAGTTTTTATTTAATAAAACTTATTTACTAAGATTAAGTGAGAAAAAAAAAACACCGATTTTTAATAATATTTATTTATTAAGACTGTGAGAAAAAACATTAATCAGAATCTAGCTCTTCTATTCCGCTCATCTCTGCATTGTTGCTGGAGTAGTTCTGAATAATCATGCACTATTACTAGGTCACATACGAACATGTATCCTTTATGTAAACGAAAGTTTGAAATCGAGTTTCTGAACGCAACTTAAAGTGACATTTGGTTGACGATTTAGGTTATCTACCATTCATGGCCAAAGCTCAATAAGTGAAAAAAAAATTTTAACCGATATTAATTATCAATATTCGTTATTTGTTTGTTTACAAATGTTTGGTTTTTATTCTTGAATTAGCGGAGTGCTAAAAAAGGGTTCCAAGATTTTTTTTGCAAATCGTACTTTTCAAGCGACATTTGACAGATAGAGGTCATTGGCTCTCCTGTTCTTATTTGAATCGCATTATACAGAAGTGTTCGTGCCTGAGAGTTGCTTACGTAGTGAGTCAGAGCATATTTTATTTGATGCTAGCATGAGCGTACCGTATCTTCCCTTTTTGATTTAATCTAAGGATGCTACTTAAAACAATCTTGCCACACGTCATGCGCAGTTGTTTTGTGCCAATGTGAAACTCTACACTGGCACGCTGTAACACAAAATGCATTGGCGAATTCTTACTACATCTGTTATTATATTTTGAACATTGCACTTAACAATTTATCTTTAGAAAATATTAAGGAATATAAATGTAACATTTGGTTGGTTTTATCAGTAATTATAGCAATTAGCATCACATTTCGAGAAATTCGTTTTTAAGTCATACTTCTAATGAAATTTTCAATGAGGTTCCCCGTAATGATTTTAGTTCAGAATGCAGATTTATAGAGCCAAGGATTCCATAAACTATAGTGGGTCAATTTTTGTTGTACGACAAATATTGACGAAGTTATCACCAAATTACTAATGGAATTTTGGGCTGGCGGCGTGGTGCCTGTGACGTCACAGATGGAGCGTGCCTAGAGACGCTATACTACTGCAGTTGGACCACGGTTCGGAGTAAACCACGATCGAACCGATTTCGATGATTTAAAAAGTATATCAATGAAAAACCTTATTGGATCATTATACTGTTGATTTTGAGTTGATTTGGTGACCTAGTAATGATCCTCTTTACAATGTCTACTTTTGTTTATCTTAATATATTATTTTTATACAAATAGCGTACCATTTATAAACTTATTACTAACTTTTCATTAATAACGATAACCAAACGGACAACACTTTATATAGAGATATATATTTAAGAAACATAAATATTAATCGCCTTCTTTACCTACCGCCAACAACCATTTTTTTCATAGGTACCTTAATTACTGTGTGCGTTAATTAATTTATATTTTAAGCATGTAACTGCTAGATGTTTGAATCGAAAGAAAATTTTACCAGAAAAAAATCCACGCGGACTAGGCAGCAGACGGGACTTTCGATTTAAACATTTAGCACTTTCATGATTAAAAATATTTTTTTTAACTATAAATGCTATTTCTTCTGTCTAATGTTTAATATTTGTAAAGCTAATAATTTGACATTGTTGGTTACCTACAACGCGAAGAGATGGCGCTGCTTTGCAGCTTAAGAAGAGGTACATAAAATTGGACAGGGCCATCAGGGCCGCGGTAGCATAATAGTCAGTGCATTCGCCCGGATAGCGAAGGGTGCGGGTTCGAGTCCCGTCTGCTGCCTGGTCCTCGTGGATTTTTTTCTAATAAAATTTTCTTACGATTTAAACAACTAGCAGTTAAATGCAAAAAAAAGGAAGTGTTTTTTTTTTGAGAATTATCCATATAAGCCTGATTATGATTGTTGAAAAAATGAAGTAATATTTATTTACAGGAGCAAAAGTGCCCGAGAAACGTAAGTTGAGCAACGAAATAGACAATGAGTTCCAAGTTAACCCTCCAAATGCGTCGAGAACAACCAAACAAAACAGGGGAACAAAAAACGAAGCTCAAATTGGTGATCCTAATAGAATAACAGAATTAAAAACTGACGACAGTCTCTCTACACCAAACATTTTCACAAATAGTTACAAAAACGACAATGTGGTAAAGAACGAACACAACAAAATCATAAATCATAAAGAAACTTTTATATGTGACATCTGTAAAAATATATTTTTTTGTAAAAACCAATTAGAAAGTCATATAAATAAATCACATACTGAAATTATCACCATACCTAACAAAAATAATACCATGTCTTATGAAATAAAATTAAATGAAAATAAAATCAAATTAAAGAACAACACTGGTTCTGTAATGATAAGCAACTGTGGACATTCGATAAATAAACGCGACAGTAAGACTGGTCTGAAACAAACACCGTATAACGATAGTACCTGTGATACAAGAATTCACTCGGGAGAGAAACCTTATAAATGTAACGTCTGCGATAAAAGATTTACTACAAGTGGTAATTTATCCAGACATAAAATTATTCACACGGAAGAGAAACCTTATAAATGTAACGTCTGCGATAAAAGATTTACTCAAGATAGTGATTTATCTGTACATCTAAGAATTCATACGGGAGAGAAGCCTTATAAATGTAACGTCTGCGATAAAAGATTTACTAAAAGTGGTAATTTATCCATGCATCAAAGAATTCATACGGGAGAGAAACCTTATAAATGTAACGTCTGCAATAAAAGATATACTGAAAGTAGTACTTTATCCATACATCAAAGAATTCACACGGGAGAGAAACCTTATAAATGTAACGTTTGCGATAAAAGATTTACTGTAAATAGTAATTTAGCCACACATCAAAGAATTCATACGGGAGAGAAACCTTATAAATGTAACGTCTGCGATAAAAGATTTACTGATGGTAGTACTTTATCCAGACATAAAATAATTCACACGGGCGAGAAACCTTATAAATGTAACGTCTGCAATAAAAGATTTACTCTAACTAGTAATTTATCCAAACATCAAAGAATACACACTGGAGAGAAACCTTATAAATGTAACGTCTGCGATAAAAGATTTACTGCAAGTGGTCATTTAAACAGACATCAAAAAATTCACACGGGAGAGAAACCTTATAAATGTAACATCTGTGATAAAAGATTTACTGAAAGTGGCGCTTTGTCCAAACATCAAAGAATACACACAGGAGAGAAACCTTATAAATGTAACGTCTGCGATAAAATATTTACTCTAAACAGTAATTTAGCCACACATCAAAGAACTCACACAGGAGAGAAACCTTATAAATGTAACGTCTGCGATAAAAGATTTACTGCAAGTGGTCATTTAAACAGACATCAAAAAATTCACACGGGAGAGAAACCTTATAAATGTAACATCTGTGATAAAAGATTTACTGAAAGTGGCGCTTTGTCCAAACATCAAAGAATTCACACGGGAGAGAAACCTTATAAATGTAATGTCTGTGATAAAAGATTTACTGCAAGAGGTAGTTTATCCAATCATAATAAGAATTCACACGGAAGAGTAACCTTATAAATGTACCTAGATAATGAGCGATAAAAAATTTACTAAAAGTAGCCATTTCTACAAACATCGAAGAATTCACACGAGAAAGAAAGTGAGCCAACGCGCAACTGCGATATGGAATCGACCAATAGTTTAGTCGCTATCGTTCGATGACCAGTTATCACAGTATTGTTCAATACTTTAATCTCAGAAACGCATCTTAAGCGCAAAGGCAGCCTTAGGGGGCCCCGCGGCCTCGCTTATTGCAGAACTATATCTGTCAGTCGTGTTCTGCTATGACTCTTCACAGAGCTATCTGTTTCATACATTTACAACAGTAACAACACAAGTAAAGTTCTACTGAATGTATGAGACTGATCGCGTTACAACACAACACGACAGATAAGTATATTTCTGCTTCAACCCAAGTCCCGTACAATCCGAAGTAGACAAAACCTAATGGAGACGTAGATATGATTATACTAGACGCACAAGATAGATGCGATTTTAATAAAAATAAAACAAGGAGACATTATTAACTTAGCGTATATCCTGTTGCGTTACTCTACTTCCGTATACTCCACTTCCGTTTCATCCTTATAGATACTCAAAGGTTATGTGCGTGTGGACTGAGTGATCTTTTCAAAAAACTCATCCAACCACAACCAAATTATAAGAGAATTTAGGAAATAATTGTGAAAACTTAATGGTAAAGTTTAAAATTTGTGAAACCTAAACAAAGAAAGTTAGAACTAATTAACTGGATCACTCAATCTGGACACCTGAAGAATAAGCCATAACGCGTATCCAAGAATATACTACCTATGTGTTTATAATTTGTATTTGAAATAATTGTGAAGAATTTGTGAAAGCTGCTAAACAAATTTTCGATTCATTTCAAAGCCACGTTTAAGATTTAGAACGGTTTATATGGATCATTCAGAATGCACTATGTTCATTTGAGTGATCTTTTAAAACACTACCTTATACTGAAAAAGTATCAAACATTATTATGTTTATTATAAATTATGCTTCTGGGAAAATTTGTGAAACTAAGATCGGGATTGAAATCTTACTGGTTTAGGAGAAAATGGAAATCTTGTTTTTTCTCGATCGTCCCAACTGAGTGATCCTTATCTTGAACTATATTTAATAAACCCAAACTTATAGGTAGAAGGTAGTTACATCAGAAATTGAGAAAAATGTTGTACTAAAATTTGACGAACCAATCGTCCCAGTAAGTGTTATATTTTAAAAGATAACTCATTTTTTACAATCCTTATGGAAAACGTTGAGTAGGGTGACCATATCGGTTTACTTGAGTACCGAGAGTTGTGTAAGTTTTGGTTTTAGAAGTTTTTAAGATGTTTTTAGAGTGTTTTTACTACTTAATACATAATTTCAACATTAAGTGACGTTTTTAAGTGACAATTTTTCAGCAAAGTTAGGTACTGTCACACTGTATTAGGTTTATCATACTAAGGAATTCTACACACAAAAAAAAGATCAGATTTTTTTAAGTAACCAAGGAAATTACCTTTTTATTATTCTGTTTTTTTTTTCTAACATTCATAGTCTACTAGAATGTTACCTAATCAATAAATCCGTAGGATAAAGTATGTAAAATAACTGGTATATATATAGATGTCAATTCTGTACATGAAATATATTTTTAAAATAACTATCAGGGGGTGATTAGTGATCGATACTGATGCCTAAAATGCAATCAGTAAAATTTTTGTCTGGCTGTGTGTATGTTCCTTATAGAAACAAAAACTACTCAACGGATTTTAACGAAACTTGGTACAATTATTCTTCATACTCCTGGGCAGGTTATAGTATACTTTTCATCACGCTACAATCAATAGCAGCAGAGTAGTGAAGGGAAATGTTGGGAAAACGGGAGAAGTTACTCCATTTTTTAAGCTTCCGTCGCGGGTGCAGCCTTAATGGTTAAAGATACATAGAAATCATGTATGACGGAAATATTCTACATAAAATTGCCTAAAAAATATCCCGCAACAGCATATGCCTATCTTTTATGGTTGACTCACAATAACACGTGTAATTATATAAATAAAGTCATTCTTTATAACACAAGCCTGAGAACAAAAATTATAGTTTACAATACAGCTCTACACCGAAGCGAAGCGAGGGCGGGCCACTAGTTTATAATAAACATGATAATGTTTGATACTTTTTCAGTATAAGGTAGTGTTTTAAAAGATCACTCAAATGAACATAGTGCATTCTGAGTGATCCATATAAACCGTTCTAAATCTTAAACGTGGCTTTGAAATGAATCGAAAATTTGTTTAGCAGCTTTCACAAATTCTTCACAATTATTTCAAATACAAATTATAAACACATAGGTAGTATATTCTTGGATACGCGTTATGGCTTATTCTTCAGGTGTCCAGATTGAGTGATCCAGTTAATTAGTTCTAACTTTCTTTGTTTAGGTTTCACAAATTTTATATCTTACCATTAAGTTTTCACAATTAAATCTTTAGTATTTTTCCAAAAATTGCTAAAAGCGCTAGCGAAAAACATCAACCGAGCTCGGCATCGAATTACCGATCTTTTGGTATGAACCCTAAGACCGACTTCGTTCAGCTATCCGTCTATTGCGTGCGACGTGCTACAAAGTTACACCTACCTACCTATCTCGTGTCAAATACTCTACTTCCATATACTCTACTTCCGTTTCATCGAATCTCAAGTCGCAACGATACTAAAGAAGTATTTACTTCAAAATATTCATACGTTACAAACCTTTTTGTTAGCTAAATCTTCGCGTCCTGTAACAATGATGACGTGTGTGATTCTTTTATAATGACTTTGATGGTATTAAGGCCTATACAGATATGAGCGATAACGCTGTCGCGCTCGGTAGCAATACCGAATTGGTACGCGATATCGCGACATGCGCGATAATCGCTGTCGCGCTCGGTAAATGGTTAGTTACTTTTGTGCCGTCTGTGAGTAAACACGAAAACACTGAGTATTTTTTTATGATGGATATTGATGAAAAGGAAATACGTGAAAAGTTTGTAAACTACTTTAGTAATAGCGCTTAGATTAGCTTAATGTAATCATAAGTAAATTGTAGTAATTAAAGATATGCTAAAACTTACCCCAATCTCATACCATATTTTATTTTTCTAAAATATGTTTTTGTAATCTGAATGAGCCATATCATATAGCACTGTATAAGATTCTATCAAGTCAATAACTTTTTCTATTTTAATTGATTTCGGCATGATCTCGAACTCATCCATGCAAAAACAAATAGCAATACGTGCACGTGAGATGCGTCTCGCAGGGAGTGAAGGAAGGACTGGCTGGATGCACTGCGGTATATTATACTACTCTTTGATGCACTGCGTATGCGGGAAGGGGCGGGTATTTGCCACGCATCGTCCGGCGCCGCGCTGTCAGGCGATATCGCGTACCGAGGACAGCAGCGTTATCGCGTACCGATTCGGTATCGCTACCGAACGCGACAGCGTTATCGCTTATATCTGAATAAGCCTTTAGTGATAATTATAGTCGTAGGTCCATAAATAAATATTTTGATAAATTTTCTTCATTTTGTAATTTTAAATGAAATTATTAGTTGGCAGTTAGCACATTGGATTCATAAAACAACGATGGTGATCACTTACCATCAGTACCCTTAGCATGAACCATTATCGAATTCGAATAGTTTGCGAGTCCGTAATGTCATTGTCATATTTTGTAAACGGACGTAACGAGAACTAAAAATCAGTACACATTTGACAATGACATTTCGCACTCGCAAACGATATTGGTTCGTGCTAAGGGTACAATGAGCCGTCTGCTCGTTTGTCCCCTATTAACTAATATATATAAAAACAGTGGTGCCGATTCTGGCATGATTATCTAAACTTAAAACTAAATTTAAGATCAGTCTCTCCTTTTCATTTTGTACGGACTATGACAAGGATACGCTGTTGTCAAATTTAAGTTTAGATTAAGAGAATCATGCCACAATCGACACCACGATCAACATTGTCATAATAGGTTAAGTACTTGATCTCATTCTCTTCTATATTTTTGTTATTTTTTACCAAAAAATTCTGTCATATTTCTTAAAATTATAATGTACCCTGTTAATATAAATAAATACTAGATTTTCGCCAAAGTTTTTTTAGTTGTAGTTAGTACCTAGAACAAAAATCACGATGAGGAATAACCGGTTTGCGTTGAGTGAAATAGCATGTTAAGGTTTTTCTTCATCAGGACAGCACGAATAAATAAAAGGGACATAATAATAGTTTTGATGTGGCAAAAATATTAAGAGTCCTTTCACATTTTTTGCAATAAATCACGTTTTCTGAGCACCTCATTTATCCCCTTAGAAGAGATTTTGAGTATTTCCAATAGAAGTAAACAATAGATTTATTCTTCCTTTTGTAAGTTAATGTAGAATATTTGCAAATACTATTTACCTTTTTTGTACTGATCGTTCTACCGCAGCTAGTTTACGGAAAAAACGATAAAAGGCACAACTTTAAACGCCTGAATCTCTCAATGGTGTCGATTCTAGCATGATTCTCTAAACCTAAACTTAAATTTGACAGCAGTATATCCTTGTCGTTCTCTATACAGAATGAAAAGGAGAGACTGATGTTAAATTTAGTTTTAAGTTTAGAGAATCACGCCAGAATTGGCATCAATGTTCAATAAATTAGATCAAATTAATTACTGCGACATCAAAAATATGTTTTTGGTGTAACAAAATGTATTAGAATCTTGCTTTTCCATCTCATTAATTATTAAAAAAACATGTAACTTCCGTGAGTTTTCTCAAAAAATAACGCAGGTTTACCTCGTATTTTGATATTGAATTATATACAATTACTATCAAATTTTTTTATAGAATTAATCTACAATCATTAAACT